CGAGAATGCCCTTTCATGAGAATTTTCCATTTGAGGCGACTGTCACCCTCTCTTCTGCCAGAGAAAGGCATGCCGATCGTCTCAAAGCGGAAAGATCTCACCAATCGCTGCAGTGAAGCGTTTGAATGAAGTGAGCGGCCACGCCTTCCCGCCTCCACGATATGGGGTGTGAACAACTGATCAGAAAACCTAAAGGGTAAAATGTGGCCACGAATATATGTCGGGCCCTTCCCATCACTTCCACCATCCGCATGGGTGAACGGGAGCACGGCGCACCTCGCTCGAGCCTGAACTGTTCTTTTATTGGTGCCCATTTACCAGTGCCAGCCAATTCTGCGTAATTATCCAACAATTATCATATCAACAAGTAAAAACATAGCAAATAGTACCGGAATAAGAGTAGGTAATTTCGTGTGACACAAAAGTCCATGAAACGGTAACGCAGCAATTCGTGCAATTACACTCACGTACTTGGCAAACGGTCTGTCTGTTTTTCAACGTTTTACTCGCGTACACATTGACTCGTAGTCACAAGCGCTCTCTCTCCCCCTGGCTGCCCTACCGTATTCGCCGTATGATTGAGCAATTGTGAGTTTAGCATCGAAATAGGCGTTTTATGGCGGCGGCGGGCCGCGCCTCTTCGGAAGACCATCAACTCACTGTAAAACAGGTTCGACAGGACGACGCGCTCGGCGTGACATTCTTCTCTGACTAAGCATTTATGGCCATCACACCGCCCTCATCACAACGACGCCGTGGCCACGGTGGCGCCAGCGGTGATTTCATGTGGTGATCGAATTTAGTTCGGGAGGAAAAAAATTGAGCCATAGGAACATTGTCAAAACAGGTTGAAACGCTCAACTATAGGGCACTCTTCGGTTTGAAAGGGGCAAACTGCACCCTAGCCTAGTTCATTCGCTAGTTCCTATTGAATTACGCGTCTCACCTTGGTGAAACCTGTAGACTCCTGTCAATTGTAAGAGAAGCTCCTGCTATTGCATAGCTTAACAGGAATTTACAGGTCTCCACAAGAGGCATTGGCAGTGAATATTGCAGTGAACACTGTAGTTAAAGGCAGTTGGCACGATAAATCCCCCAAGACGAGTAGGATTAATACGCCTGGCAGGACGGAATTCCGCGACCCTGAGCAGGCGCTGCATAATGCCTTTTCCAAGGGAGGTGCCATAAGGGCCCTATCAAGCCACAACATACCGACCCAAACGCCCGCCACGCCCGCCCGCCCACAAATGGACGACCGTTGCTGAC